CTGCAACTAGAGTCGGTGGTTCCTGAAAACCACGTCTTCATGCATTGCATTTGGGCATATGTACAGCCATTTTGTGAGGGAATCTGCCCGTGAGAATGGCAGGTTACTGAAAATAAACGAATGTATTGCTTCGATCGAAAACCTACTCATACAAGCTAGAAAAAAGTGACTACATAGATGCCCTAGCATCAATAGTGACCTGGTTGTTATAATCGACATACCGACGTAACTCTGCATCTGACAATGCATAACCGCAGTTCATATACAAGTTGCGGATCTTGTCAGGGTGCTCATTGATTGAGTCGATTGCGCAGCGTATGTAACCCTCAGGGTCTGATCGAACTAACTCATGCTTATTGTTGCGCTTCATCCAGGCCTTCATCATACTGAAGCAGAGCTCGATTGGATTGAGGTCTGGTGAGTAAGGCGGCAAAAAATGGATTCGACAGCCAGCGCGCTGAACAATGAGTTCATATACCCTTTCGTCATGATGGATACGGCAGTTGTGAAGGACAACCACGCTGTTCGGACCAGGGTAGGGGTTGAGAATTGGTAGCAGTTCATGTTCGACGAATTCGACAAATCGATCAGCATTGAAGGATCCCTGAAAGACTGATAAAGCATGCAGCCCTGTCGAGGTAAGTGCAGGCAATACGCTCCAACGTTTGGTTCGAGCAAACGGTCTCTCCTCAATCGCCCTAGTACCGACTGGCGCATATCCAAATTTCCGGGTAGCAGTCCTCTCATCGACAGCAGACTCGTCGAGAAAGACCAGTTGTTCTTGACTGTATTCAGCCATTGATATGGCGTGTTGCGCACGTAAAATGCCGTTCCGTTCTGCTGCCCTTAGCGTAAGAGTCTTTCGAGTATATCCAATCTTTTTGAGGTATCGACAGACATGGTACTTCGATAGTGAAGTGGCAAATTCCTGGTTCATGAACTCTGCGCAATCATCCTGGTATAGGGTAGGGTTCAGATCATACAGGGCCTTGATATGCTGTTATGCCATGCCCAGCGTTTCAGCCAAGGTCCTCGATGGGGCAGGTCACTTACCATGCCTATGCGGGAGTCAATCTGAGGCGTCCTACCACAGTGCGTGGTAGGGAGGCGCTCATGGGTGCCTTCCTCCTCGAATCTCTTGACAATCCTGTAAATGGTTCGTACCGATCGGTTGATGATCTCACTGAGTTGGTGAACATCATAGCCCTCGATGCAGTTCTCGATAACTATGGACCGTGTGCTATTGTCGCATATCTCACCGAGCATTTCGAACCGTTTGCGACCTTCCTAGGCCTTCAATGGAGTTGTTCTGTTGGTTTTACGATGAGCCTTTACGGAGCATGTGCAGCTACCTGCAGGTTGCGACAAGCATTTTGCAACCAGCTGTAAGGGCGGTCTCGGACCGTAGTACACACCGAACAGCTGTACGAACTGAGCTGCTGCTGCACGCCAAAGTCGGTTGGTACGCATTACGACTGCGGTTCATATATCCGTACCAGCTGCTGAAGGAAAGAGTGGACTGGGCCGTAAGCTGATACAGGTCTCAATTCCGGGTTGCTGCAGCGACCACTTCAAGGTTTATGTTCCAGCGGTATTCCCGTGATCGCGCCACGAGACCCAAGCTCCTCTACCGGTGTTGTTCATCCTCAACAACATCGTCAGCAACATCCTGGCGATGCACTCGGATCTCAACTTCGAGGTCGAGCAGATAAGCATCGTAACAACATGACTCAAGAACGGTGTTGTTCAGCGCTGACGATCTACAGTTTGGCCGTATACCGTACTGCTGTGTGCATCATTCTTGACGGCGCGCTGTTTACCGCCTATCTGTGCGGGGATAGTTTCACGAACCCCCCATCTTCATAGATAAGGCTTGGGAGGGCGATTTCAGGGGAGAAGTCGATAGATCAGACTCTTAGGAATCGATAGATGTCCTCGAAACGCGTGTAGTACCATTTCTCATAGAGTTGTGACATTATGAAGGGTTCCGGTAATAAGACTTATATCCTATCCATATTCTCAGGTAACCAAGCGAAATGTCTAACCATAATCATCCCTTCCAAGCCTCAACCTCCTTCGCGACCCTGATCATCATCCCAAGCACCTCTTTCTCCCCCATCGTAAACTCCGTCCTCTCTTCACTCGTCAAACAACAGATATTACTATCCAATAGCTCCCACTCCCCGGGTTCCTTCAGCCAACTATCGAAATGTAAGGCTGACTTCCGTGAGGGAGATAGGGCGGCAGCGGGGGTTGGGACGTCGTCGAATTTGTTGGGTGCGAGCCAGCCGTTGAACCAGAGAGGGGTTTCGTCGCGGTCGAGGTGGAGGAGTTGGGGTGAACAGATGGTGTGGGGACCACCTGCAGCGGGTGCTCGTTTTCGGAGTGCGTGTTCCTCTTTCTCTGCCCTCTCTTCTTCCTTCTCATCCTTGTCCTTCGCATCCTCGTGGCCATCATGTTCATGATCACTATCATCAACATCCTCCCCACCCTTCTCATCGTACCCCTTCGGCCCTCCAATGGCCTTCTCCAACTTCTCCTTATCAATCTCCTCCTTCACACTCCCCCTCTCCTTCGCCCTCACAATCCCCATAATTCCCTGTCCCCCCTCCATCCACGCATACCCAACATCGCCCACCAGCTCCCACCCAAGCCAAAACGTCTCCTTATCTCCATACACCAAGTCATACACGCCCACAATCTTATCATCACCCTCTCCTGACCCATCACGATCTGGTCCGTTTAGACGAGTGACCATGAGTAACGCGACGAAATGCTTGAATTTGTCGATGACGAGGACGCCGGATTCTTGCATGTGGCCCGAAGCACCAGTCCAGAATCGACTCGATTTGACCTGGGGGCTGAGTGGTTTCGGTAAGATTTCCTGCAAGAACTTTTTCTTACTCTCCGGGAAAATGAGCCTGTCCTTGAAGAAGAGAGCTCCCTTCTCCTTGTATCCCTTATCCTCGAACAAGATCGTCGGGTCCTTGAAGAAGAGCGAATCGGCATCGATGAAGATACACTCCCTGAACGACGACAACAAAATCGCAAACGGCTTCCCTGCCCATCCCGCGAGTTTCCATCCACGATCCGAGACCATCCTCGCCATGTCCCTCGTAACAACACCCTCCAACTCCTCCAATTTCTCCCTCCAGTCCTCGCCTAAGTCATCGTCACCGAGATACATGACCTCGACGGGGAGTTCACACCCCAGTTCCCTTAGCACCTTGATCCCAGTAAGGAGGAATGGTGCCTGATTATCACCAGCTGTGAGGACGATACCACGGCCGCCTGTGGCAAGCGAGGCGTGCAGGGACGCGTGTGATGGGTGAAAGGGCGCGGTCCAAGGGAAGAGGAGATTGGAGAAACGGGGAAGGAAGGCTGTCATGTCGTCATAGGTGTGCAGCAGGTCGGGTGAGTTGTGTTTGATGATCTTAGTTATGTCGTTGCGAATAACGATACCACTGTTGTCCTTATCGTTGGAGGAGGAAGGAGCCGAGGCGAAGTGTACTCGTTCCCATGCCTCGAGCATCTTCCGGTATACCCGTGCCCGGAGGCCGTACTCCCTCATTCTCTCAGTTCCCGAACTCTTGATCGGACGCAACAACTCCCTCATGCGAAACTCATCTGGTAACATATCCAACAAATCTCTTAATGGTCCATTGACCAGATCCTTATCTGCCTGTGGTTGACTCCCACTTTGCGCTTGTGTCTGTTTTTGCGGAGAAGAAGGAGCGTACTCGGCGTGAGCGGGCGGGATTTGTGCTTCCACAACCCCAACCGCAATCTCAGCCTTCGACGGCTTCTTCGGAGGTGGTGGGACCTCGTTTCCCTGACGTCCCACAGCTCCCTGGTATTCAATCCTGTGATCTCTCGTCGGAACCTCCCTTGCTTTGGCATCCACACTCAGCGGGCTCGACGGTGCGCGTAGTGTATCATATTTCGGTACTGCGCTGTTGTTGTCTTGTTGTAGAGCTGGTAGAACGAAGAGGTAGAATGCGATGAATCCGACAAAAGCGATGATGATACGTTTGAGCTGACGGTCCTGGAAGATGTGCGAAGGCTTCACGCGGCCTTCTTTTGGTGGAGGGGATTGCGTGAAGGGGAGGAAGGAGCTCGAAGCGGTCATCGTGAAGGTTGACGCAGCTATCACCTACAGCTTATTGACGATGACACTGGCGGTGACCTGGACTTTATAGAGACGGTATGGCACCCTGGCAATGTACAATACTTTAAGGCTTCATTTCGACGGGTCTACGTCTCGGCTCGAACGAGCGCGCACCAGCCACACGGCACAGCGCAAGTTCGGTCTGTGAACCGAGACGCCAATTGCAAGCAAGAGAACAAAGGACTTGGTTCTCGCCTGATCCAGCGCGTACCTCCCATGATCGCCAGCTCAATTGTTCTACGTGTAGCTTCATGAAGACACCCCTCATAACCTACGGCCCGTCATGCAACAGCGGCAGACCGGTCCGATGCCGCGGGGAACGGCCCATGCGGGTAGATTGCATTGCACGGCTCGCAGAACAAATTGATCAATCTCAAACAATATTTGTTTGGTAGGAGGATAGATACCCGTTTAAGAGCACGGTTACGGACCGGCCGGCAACGGGTGAGTGCATGAGGTGATTACAGCCGATGATTGCAATATATAGCGGAAGGCGTAGATTATGTCGGGTATGGATGAAGTGAGAGTCACGAGATGGCATCTACCATCTCACGGCCTTGAGCTGAGCGTACGAGACTGCAGCTGACGAGGACGTCGCTACCGAATGTCTGACACAGCTGTCTTGCTACGGGGTGCGGGCAAAACACTCCCGAGCGTCGATGTCCCGCGGCCCAGGCGCACTTCTGCAGCGCCAGTGCGCCCCTAAACATTGAGGTGTAAGACCAGTCGACTGAGAGCTCTTAAAGCAGCTCGGACAAGCGATCAGGGTAGATGCCTTCCCGTTGAAACGGTTGACACGTAGCTTTAAGGGTTATCGATTGCTGGTATCGGTTGTTCCTTGCTATAAGATTAGCGGGTTCTCCACATCCGCAAAGCTTGGTAGCATCTCATCGGTAGGCCTGTTCAGCAAGTCGAAAGGCGGTATACAATGGCTATGTTACGTCGTTCTACGTTTCGTTGCGTTGTACTCTCGGTCTTCCTGCTTTGCTGTTTCCTTCTCGCCTTATCGCTGGACTCGACGCTCCTCGACCTCTCCGCCACCCATCACGAGGACTACGTCGTCGTCGACAGCCCCGCAACACCTACCTCTCACTCCCTCGACAGACACACCCACCCAATACCCTCTCTCCTTACCCAAGCTTCTGAAGGCTTCACCACCTACCTCTCCTCACAATCCACCGATCTCCCTTCCGCTGTCGCGGCGTATCGCAAACGCTACAACCGCCCTCCTCCACCAGGTTTCGACGCCTGGTTCGCCTTCGCACAGTCCAAGAACAGCCAAATCATCGACGACTACGACCAGATCAGCCGCGACCTCTCACCCTTCTGGGCACTCCCACCCTCCCTAATCCGAGAACGTGCACGTCAAGCCATACAAAGTAGGCACTGGATCGGTGCTGTCCAAGTCAAGGATGGAAAGTTGGTAGAGGAGAACAGAGGTGGTGGTGGGATGAGGGATCTGATTTGGGATGTGCTGCAGGGAGGAGGTGTGTTGCCAGATATGGAGATTGCTGTGAATGAGTTGGACGAGCCGAGGGTTGTTGTTGAGGGTGGGGATATGGAGAGGATGGTGGAGGTTGTTCGTGCCAATCAGAGGCATGTAGTCAGCGACGACCAGTTGACGACGGAGTGGACGAGGATGGAGTGGGCTGATGGCGAGGGAGAGGTGAAGGAGGGGGAGGGGGAGGAGACGAAGGTGTTTGTGGACATCGATGGGCAGAACGCGAAGGAGGTCATCCGTATGGGCTGTCCCCCTTCCTCCCTTGCACGACGAGCTCAGTATGAGTCTGCCAAGGACCCGAACTACGCCGCTCCCCACTCCACCTCCTTTGGATCCTTCGTCACCAACACCACCCTCGCCAAAGACGTTTGCCACCAGCCCGACCTGGAAGCCCTCCACGGCTTCTTTCTCTCCCCCGCCTCTCTTTCCTTCACGCACGCTCTCACCCCGATTTTCAGTGTCAGCAAACTTAACGTATTCAATGACATTCTTTATCCCGCTACATGGTACGGAGACGGGCCTTCGGAGGGGGCTGGGATGGAGGGTGATAAGGCGTGGGAGGAAAAAGAGGGGATGGTGTATTGGAGGGGTTCGACCACTGGGGGTGAGTTGAGGAGGGATAATTGGAGGGGGAGTCATCGGATCAGGTTTGTCGATTTGGTGAACAATGGCGAGAAACAAATTGTTCTGGTTGCTCCAGAAGAAAGAGAAGGGGAAGGGGAAGAGGAATGGAGGCTGGAGGAGCGCGATATTAAAGAGATGAACGAGAAAGTCATGAATGTCTCTTTCGTTTACCTTGCTCAATGCGGAGATGTCTGTGACGAAATCCAACCCGCACTCGGCGAGAAAGCAGCATCGCTCACGCCAGTACCCTTCCCTGAGAACTTCATGAACAAATATCTCATCGATATGGACGGGAACGCGTTCAGCGGACGTTGGTACCCCTTCCTCCGATCCAACTCCGTGCCTGTGAAGATTGGTGCAATGTTTGTGGAAGCATTGGATTCAAGAATCTGGGCTTGGAAACACTACTTGCCCGTCGACGGAAGAATGGGTGACTTGTACTCGGCTCTATCATGGTTTATGGGTGGATTTGGCAGAGATGAGGGACACGATGAGGAAGCGAAGAGGATTGCGGAGGAGGGGAGGGAGTGGGCGGCAAAGGCGTTGAGGTGGGTTGATTTCGAGGTTTATACGTACCGGCTGCTGTTGGAGTATGCGAGGGTCGTTGATGATAACAGGGATAATTTGGGGTTTAATCTTCAGGTTTTGGATACCATTAATATTGAGACAAGGACTTGAGAGGTCAAGGACGATGTTTGTTATGTTAGTGAAGGTCAAGGATTAGCTGTCAAGGAACATGTTTTTCGCAAGTACGAATAATATTGTTAACGATCCTACAAGAAACCTCCTTCCTAAATTCCAAATTATGTTAAGGACCATTACCCCTCCATGGCCAATCAAGAATAGTCCCCGGAAACGGAACCCAAAAGAAGATAAATACTAGTCATACTCTTTTCAAGAAGATGAGGTCATGTAATCCAGGCCGTGTTTTTGTTATATTCAGATGAACCCCAGCTCCGCCGTGTATCGAAGCTCCGTGTGGATTGGTTTACCACTGAGCCTTGGAAGAAGACTCGGGTGTCTCCTTGCTGTACGACTCATGCGAGTAAGTTGGAGTCTCCTTAGTGTAGGATCCGTGGGTCTTTGAGGACTTGGTTGGGGTCGCCGTAGCGGTCACGGTTTCAGTAATGGTATTCTTCTCGTGCTAATGGAACACGTGAGTTCCTGATATGAACATGAGAGCGGGCAAAGCTTACCTTCTTCTCGTAGTCGGTGACAGTGATCGTAGAATAAGCGGTATACTCGTTGGTGTACGCCTTGGTCTATTTGCATTGTGGTTAGCATTTGAAAGAACGTGAGATAGCAGCACAGCATACCTCATAGACGGTATAAGGGTGCCAGGTGGTGTACGTAACATAGAACACAGTCGTGTACGGGTACCAAGTCGTCTCTGTGGTCGTTAAAGCGTTGTAGGCGGTTTCGGTCTTGTACTCCTTTTGGCACGCAGGTTAGTTACTGTCAAGCATGCTCGAAGGATAATCGTGCCTTCTGGGTCTTCGTGATGATATCGGTGAAGTACTTCTTGATGTAATCCGTCTCGGTGTCGGTCTTGGTGGCAGTCTCGTAATCCGTCGTAGTGACCGTGGTCAGCTATTAAAGTTGGATCAGTGATGGATGGCGGGGCAAGGAATTGGTCAATCTCACCTTCTGGATATATTCAGTTTCGGTGACCGTCTCCTCATCGGTGACCGTTTCATACTTCTTGACATAATCGGTGAAAGTAGCAGTGTCATATTCCGTAGTCGTGATGTACTGTTCAGCGAGGCTTAGCAGTTCGGACATTCAACTCCCGCGTCCCTGGGCCGAGTAGCGAGGATTCGCCTGTGACGTTCCGAATGCCGAGAAGTTCTAAAGTTCTGGGGTTTATGGTGTCAGAAATAAGGTTTGGGCCACCCCTGCATCGCGGATGGACCCCGCGATGTACCCGTAGACTTGAAAAGGTACGTAGGTATTCATGAAACGCTTGGAACAGATCGTTACGGTTCCGGTCTGTCTGCCGAAAGAGGGCAAACATACCTCAAGAGGTGGTCAACCGCGAGGGCGTCCCGCTCTACCAGTATGGCCGTGTGAACTGAAGATATGTCATTCAGACGGGTATTGCCGGTTGAAAACACAATCTCGCCGGTTTTTTCTGAAAGCAACAAGACCGCTGGTACGGTTACTGGAGAAATACAAGCTTAGTCATGGAAGTCCAGGAGCACTTGGAATCATGTGAGAAAAACATGATAAAATGGAGACATGGGGGATCGAACCCCAGATCTTCCGCATGTGAGACCGAGCTTGCGCTCATTCGTGCAAAGCGGACGCCTTACCACTAGGCCATATCCCCAGATGATTGGCTGGTCTTGGATTTCATAAATCAATCCGTCTGCTCCCATGCCATGCGTGGGAATCATTTTCATCGACCGCTGACTCTTGCTGATTCTGAAGTTCATGACTCCAGGAGTTTTCTGAATGGTCCATTAGGTGCGCCAAAGTTTTGTCAACCAGGAGGAGCTTGTAGCCATACTGGCGACTTGTGAAAATCAATCTCAGTACATGTTTTTAAATGTATGACATATTGAGAGAAATAATTTGCATCTGTGTTTGACTAGTCGGGTATATTGGCGATCCTGTCAAAAGTATACGAAAGCTAGTACCAGTAGCGGTTAATAATCTACTCAATCTGAACAATGCTTATACTCTGTTGGCACCCTATCACACACGTACCGCGACCCTTTGAGTCCACTCACATACCCCCTCTTCGGGAGCCTCTTGTAATCCCACCATTCACTCTCTTCAAACCAACATTCCTCAGTCTCATCCTTGAATGTCCACGACCGGCACATTGGATCCGCCGTACATATCGCGTTGCACTCATTCACACTCTCAACAAGTCTCGAACCTTGTCCCTCGATGCCGTTCCAGACCGTGTCAATGTCGATCACGTCGAAGTCCGGACCAATGTTCATTGTGGTGTTTACGTATCGTGAGTGGAAAATGTCGGCGAATGTAACGGCTCCATTCTCGGAAATCTTCTCTGCCATGTAGGCGTAGTGGAAATCCATTCCGCGCATACGATGGCCAGTAACCGGACGGATGCAAGGATCACCGATGATGCCCTGCTCAGGATCAAGATGCCTAAGCGACTAGTCAGCGATCGTATTAGGATGTGTGAAAGCACAAACCCATACCTGTAATCATGAACATAAAACCCATACGGATGCGGACACCCATCCAACACCCTCAACCCAACATCCCACATACACAAACTAACCCTGATATCTCCCGCCCAACAATCCCAGCTCTTTAATATACACTCATCGATACCTTCATACAGTATCTCCATAGCACCACGACTCAACAGGATTCCGGATCCGCCTTGGTAGAAACCTTGGCGGCGGTCAGGCATGTCGTCGTTGATGCCGCAGGGCCCCATTCCGAGGGGCCAGCCCATGTGGAGGGGGAGGGAGGGGTCGAGGTAGTGCGTTATGTCGTGGAGGTTTTGTGTGAATATGTATGTGTCGTCGTCGATCATCTATGTCGGGTGGTTAGATAAGGTGTGGAGGAGGGAAGAGGAGGAGAGGCTAGAGCATACCATGAACCAGTCTTTGTCGGGGAACTGCTCGTATAGGATACGGAAACCGGGAAGATTCTTCAGGAAAGGGTCAGTGAGAATCCAGGATGAGAAAGTGCGTGCTTACCTTGTGCGCATCTCTTGTCCATCCATCCTCCTCCTCCCTCACAGTCGCCGTCCTCCTCTCACCCGTACGGGTCCGATTGATCGCATCCTCATAAATCGTCGTGTAGCAATCATGAACCGGGGTATCCCCAAGCACATCTTCGTGATCCGAGATATAAATCCTATTCTCGAGACGATCGAGGAAGGAGGAGAGTTGGCGTGTTAAGCGGTCGCCCATGACTTCGTGACTTGTCTTGACTGCGAAGGCGAAGTTTGAGAGGAGACGGGGATCGTCGTAGGTGAGTGCATGTGCGGATGAGGATGGAGGCATGTAGAGGATTGAAAGGGTTTCGGTGTCATCCATTGAAGGAACCAGGCGTACGCGTAAGTCTTGCTCCTTGTCGATGCTGTTGGAGATGATTGATAGGATAATGGATATCACCAATGCGATGATTAAGATCGTATTCCGCCGGCGAAGGAGTCGCCGCAAGGTGGATGATCCATGGCCACTCCATTGCACCGTGACAGAAGCAACCAACTTCTCTGTTTCACCACTTAAGAGAGGCATATCAGCAGTTGAAGGGAACAGTAGGTGCTTCAGGTGGGTACACGCACCTATATACCCACGGTAGGTCCAGTGTTCGTACTCATGCGCTGCCCTCCAGACTGATAGGATAGATCCCTCCCTTAAGTTGTCTGCGCCATATACCAGGGTCCGAGAATAAACTGAGCCGGCATGTTAGGGCTGATCCACTACAACGAGCTTGAGCCGCTGCCGCTGCAGATGTGCCCCGCAGTCGCGACTAGTGACCGGCGGTGTTCAGGAATACGAGTGCGGCTTTGGCCTTCGTGAAGTGCGTCCGTGGCCTGAATCAGCGATGATAATTTCCTTGTGGCCGCGCAGAAGGACGCCAAAATCCATACCAGGCCGGTGAAGGTGATTGGATCCGCAGTAATGGTCTATTCATTGCAGCTGTTGACATTGAGCGAACTGGGTTGCTTACTAGTCTTTTCGCCGTGATAAGCACAACAGGTTCCCAAATTATCTCGCAATTGAGGCTGCGGCTCCTCGAGCACCCGCTCCCTAATGCGAGATAAGTGGGACCCGTCAAAACACAGCGGAAGGCTTGCGGCCCCACAAAAGCTTGAAGCCGAGAGACATGGGGTATCAGGCTAATGCGATTCATCATAGCATTGCATCCTTGCCCTACCCATTGAGGGTCCACAATCTCCTGGCAGGGTTAAAGTTCTGTTGGGAGCTCGAGCTCGGAGCTCAGAGCTCGCCGCCTTCGGTTCGCGCAACCGCCGGGCTTGGCGGAACAGAGGGAGCTTCGCGGCGACGAGCCATACGATTGCCAACCTGACCTGGACCGGCGTAGCTATCAGTGCATATGAAATCCTCCGAGACCCGATCATGCTGCGCGCAGCTGCAGCAGCGGCTCGCAGTAAGCACTCAGACACGGCAATTTGATTCCGCAAAGCCACTTACAGATGTATCCGCTGACTAATCCTTTCGTACAGTGGTTTGCAGAGAGGGTAATACCGACTGAGCAAAGGATTCGCGGGACCGACTATTCTGTAACTGTTGCCGTGGAATAACTGCCCAGGTGTTGCCCTTGTTGACTTTGACCGTGGACCGCAGCGTCGGCAGTCAAATGCCGAGATGCCCGCGGGTGCCCTGCTGCAGCTTCCTGCACCACCAAACCTTAACCTGACGTTCAGATCCATCGGCCATTGCAATTGTCCTACATCAATTGCAACTTATTTGATCTCCTCGGCCATGAGAGCAGAAACGCTTCTTCTCTTCGCTGCGCCTTTGGCTTATTTGGCGCTCGCACCGTATACTAAAGTCGAGGAGTCATTCAACCTTCAAGCGGCGCATGACATTTTGAAGTTCGGAATTGGGCCTGAAGGCTTGAAAAAGGTGGGTGAACCTCAGAATCATACCAGTTGGAACATTGATTGATTATGGCTGTGCAGTATGATCATGTCGAATTCCCCGGCGTCGTACCACGTACATTCCTCGGCGCGGCGGTCCTTGCGATGCTCGCGTCGCCAGCGAGGCTTCTTGATCTCGATCCGTTTGCGTATCAATACATCGTACGTGGGATTCTGTCGATTCTGATGTCTCTCGCACTCTATCGCTTCTATACCGTGGCGGATCGGGCTCTTGGCCGATCAACTGCGTTCTGGTTTGTCTTGTTACAGGCGACGCAGTTTCACGTCAACTTTTACGCGTCGCGAACACTGCCTAACACCTTTGCCTTCATCCTCAGTATGTAATCCACAGCCATCTACCTTCAACATCGGCTAACTGTCTGCGTTATAGCTACAATCGCCCAAAGCTTCTTCCTCCAAAACCGCATCCCCCTCGCCTTGGCCCTCCTCACCTTCACTACTACAATCTTCCGCATCGAACTCCTGCTCCTCCTCGCCACAACAACCCTCCGCCTCCTCCTCACCCGCCGAATCACCATCCCAACCATCATCAAATCCGGATTCATCGGTGGTATCAGTGGGTTGTTGGTCACCGTGGGTGTAGATTCCTGGTTTTGGGGCGAGGCACCGATGTGGCCCGAGGCGGTGGGGTTTTGGTATAATGCTGTATTGGGGAAGAGTGTAGAGTGGGGTGTTTCGCCGTGGTGGACGTACTTCCTCGAATCACTGCCCAAGCTGTCGTTGAATCCGTTGACGTACGTGGTGCTTGTTCCTTTGGCGGTGGCGTGGCATCCGAGGAGGAGGGTTGCGTGGGATTTGGTGGTGCCGTATTTGGCGTTCGTTGCGGTGTATTCGGTACAGCCTCATAAGGAGTGGAGGTTCATTGAGTATGTTGTGCCGCCGTTGACGCTCACGGCTGCGATGGGTGCGTCGTATATGTACGTTTCTTCCCCCTTTTCCCCTCCCACCAGTTACTGACTCGGGTTCACAGCTGGGACCGCCGTTCCAAATCCGTCATGTATAAACTTTGTTCCATTGCCGTTACGCTGAGCGTTCCATTCACCCTCGCCCTCGCCCTTCTCATGGGTCTCATCTCCTCGCTAAACTACCCTGGGGGCCACGCACTTGCCCATCTTCACTCCCTCTCCCATGCCACTTCTTCTACCAACAGGGTGTGGATGGATGTGGCAACATGTATGACAGGTGCCTCAAGATTTGGACAGAGAGAGGCGGAGGGGTGGTGGTATGATAAGACGGAGGACGAGCAGCGATTGCTGGAGGAGGGCTTCTGGGAGGGAGTCGATTGGATTATCACGGAGCACGTTGGGAAATTCGAGAGGGCTGAGTGGGAGAAGGTGGAGGTTGTTAGGGGGTATGCTGGGGTTGGAAAATTGAGCGTCGTTGGTGGGATTGAGGAACAGGGTAGGAGTGACGTGCCGAGAGTTGGGTGGTGGGAGAGGTGGGCGGCCTTGTGGCCCGCACCATATGGTGTGAGGTTGGCAGAGAGGATTTGGATTTTGCGGAAAAACTGAGGGAACCACGCGTTTGAGATCTCTTACGCCGAAAACTCTAGATCAGATGACTGAAAATGCGAACTGGACTAGCTGTTGTGGTGCACATGTAGACCACGCTCCGGGAGCAGTTTAAGACCACTCCCAACTTCCTCCGAAAACCGGTCAAGATTGCCGATCTGACAGGTTGCCTTAAACCCCTGGCATCTAGACGCCCTATATATATCGTTGTTTCGTTACTTAGGTACACAATCGGTCCATACCCCAGTTTAAGAGCGGCTGAGCGCCTCAACGGCCACGGATGTACGGCCAATTGCAGGAATTGAGGGGACGACCGACGAGGGAATGGCCGCGCAGGTAGGGGTGTCGGTACGTCTAGGTCTCGGGCAATGGTTTTAAGAGTTGTGGTCAAGTCGGGGGAAGGTTTGTGCATAACTGACACTTGTCTTGGAAGGTGTATCATCGGTATAATACAGCTACCGTATGGCATGGGAGTTATCCAGGAGTATAGGATGATTGCCGCGTAAAACACATTAGGGGTGAGACCGGGGATTCGCTGATCCCCTACACTGTATAAGGTACAATAAGGATGAGGACGGCTTATGAGACATGTCAATGACATCAGGAGAGCTCCATTCCTTACCATTCGACGGCGTGCTCGCAACCATCTTCCAGCCTGGTCAAACGAGGACCGGGGAGGAACCGATCCCTATGATGTCAAGTTAGTACACTATGCTGGAGTTTCATGTGCGTATCCTGAAGCTCATGAAACCATAGTTCCTCGTAATGATTACGCGAAAGGCCTTAAAGGGCCAGAATCCCCACTGCCAGACCGACATCGATCTCAACAAGCTCTCGAGCTAGCATTCTCAGGAGAACCGTGTGAAATTTGAATCCAAACAATACGACTTCACCAAGCATTTAACATGAAGGTCATCTTCTATCACGTCTCCGTGGCCGCCATTGCCTTGTACGGGCACCATCTTTGCTCAGCCGCACCTCTCCCCAGTGCCGTTGATGCCCTCGAGGTATGTTGTTCCCTTACTCTCCACGAGCGCCCACCAACATTCTCCTCAGTCTGTCAGTCCTGTTGGAATTACGGCGGAACCTCACGTCGGAGTCACGAACAGTTTGAACAACAATATCGACTGCGTGATGCGCCGCAGTGTGTCGACGACCGTGGGGGAGTCTGTCGCGATTGGACAGGACGGAAAGCTCGTTAGCACAGACACTCAGGCTGATGCCGAGGCTGCTGATACTGCGGACAACCTTCTGAACTATTGTTAAGAGGTTTTTTCTGTGATAACGTCTACCGGCGTATATTACTAGCTAGCGCTGTGTATGATGGGACGACTCAAAGCTTGACATGTGCTACGATACGTAAGAGGGAGTGTGATATGAGTATACGCTTAGCAAGTCAATTGATCAGTAATATGCGAAATATTTGACTGGTCTTACGGTCTCTCATTGCTTCCAAAGTAGTAGCCACACCCTGTGATTCCTCAGGTTCACCCACGCCCTTTGACCTCGGAACTTCGTCCTAAGTGACTTCTGCTATCAGAACAGCAATACTGGAGGTTACCCATGTATCCTCCTAGTTCTTGGAGGTCCCTCACTTCCCAGGTAAAACCGTCCGTTATCCAGGAGTTAGGGTTCTTCAGGCACGCGTGCCGTAGACGTCCCTAGAGCCGCCCGCGATACGACAACGTCAATCAATACCGGAGCCGGCAACCTCCCAATATGTCTTCAGACAGGTGTGAACGACGTCCGTGCACGACGTGATAGGTTCATTTCGGACATCCTGAACTTCAAGCCTGAAGCATACACCTGCTCTTTTCGCTGCGACGAGTATCATATGACAACCCTCGAGGTCAGCAAGCTATATGCGGGATCCATGAGGTCATGAGATCACGCCGGTTACTGCGGCCAACCACAGCTCGATGATGAGCCAGGTCGACCCTCGGTATGCGACATCGAGGCAATACCAATGCCAATGGCAGTGTTGAACGCATGCATGCCTCTGTTCGTGTGGCTCGGACGATGGAACCCGGATTGTACACCAGAGCTCACGTAGCCTCAGGAGGATGAGATAACTTCAAAAGCGACTGAACCGACCGAGCGGGGGCGTGACTTCAAAGCTCAGTCTGGGACAGGCGTCAATGTCGATGATGTGGAATGATCCCTCGGTGAATGAACTCTGAAGAAAACCGGCAACCATATGCTCGCGCGTACAAGGCCAGGAATCTCTCCACGATGCCTCTGGATCAAAATCAACCTAAGGTCTTCCTTGCGCGTCTACGGAACACGCTTCTTCTGGTCATCGCCTCACAAAGACAGCGACCTATGACGGTTGACGTGGAGACCTTTGAAGGCGCTCTGAAGTCTCGTCATTAGCTCTGAGAGTAACATAAAGGTTGTATGCCTTTATCCACCGTGCTATGACACGCGACTTGAGTACACGTTGAGTGAGACCTGGCCACCGCGGTCAAAGCGAGCGACATGCGAAGTCAATTGTCGATGATTTTGGCTCGTCCTACCGTCTTTCTGTCGTTCTAATTTGATCTTCTTTCGTCAATGCCTGACAGGGACAGCACTGCGATAGGGTTAATGATGCATCTCCTCTAGCAAATTGGAGTTCCAGCGATGGAGTGCCCGAAGACATGGACACAACGCTGACCGTGTTCTTTGCCATAAGCATTGCCTTTCCGACATGCGAAGGATTGCAGCCTCAGCGCTCTGTTGTCTTCTGAGGACGCACAGGATGCCTAGCCGGGACCTCGCGGAGGTTGAAGATTTGAGCTTTCGCGGTGGTATGCTCATGTGACGATAATGACGTGTGGTACGAAGATAACTGGACGATTTCATTGCAGGACTAGAGCAGTGAAGCTCCTGACTCTCTTCAACTCGGGATGTCAATTCTCACTGTCATCGTCTGCAGCGACTCAGACGCTTGCAGCTCTCGCAGGGCCTTCGCTAAGCTCTGAAAGCGAGAGGGAGCCTATCCTATCAGAAAGTTTCGGTGAGTTGGGTTAGGGCCTCAGTCTAGGTGCCCTACGGATAAAACAAAGGAAACGGACACCGGAAGAACTGCCTACCGCTCGGTAGTAGACTCTACGGTCTACAGTTTAAGGGTTTGCTTACGTTAAAGCACGGTCTGTTCCCCCGTTTCGTGCTGATGATCTGACCTTACGCCATGGTTTTCCAATAATCACGAGGGACGCGTCTGGCCCCTTAAAATGTTCACATTGGTTACGTGGGCATTACACGCTTCAGGGATGCTCTGTTCGCGCAGCCGGTCAAGTGGGGTTCATGTCGAGCGCGGTACATGTCATAGTCTGCAGGACGGATCTCTGTAAGGTTAAGCAGAGAGATTCCGCCGGTCCGCTTATGTTTAAGGGTTCGTGCAGGGAACGTGGAAGCATGCTGATCGCTGGACGAAGAGACTAGGTTGATGTCCCCACCTGTCTCTCAAAGTCTACGATCTACCAAGGGCAGGACTTGGGTGTATGGTCGCAGCTGCAGCTGGGCGACACTTTCTCCTTATCCCCGTTACAACGCGCATGGTCTCGTTTTTGTAAATGGAAAACGGCAGCATTAGGTCTTGACCACGCGTGCTTCACTTTGTAACTGCGGTTTTGGAGCCGGCAAACTGGAGAGAGCGTAATAGGTACGCCGTTGCGACATGCTTCATCACCAGCTTCAAGGCCATCCGAACATGTGTGGGTCATCCGATCGGCAAATCTTGACTTGAGTTTTCTGAGACATGGAAATATTTAAAGCGTTCGGGTTGATGTCCCGCTGGGCGGTTCATCCCCGGACAGATTCAATTTCCCGTGATGTTTTAATTTCTCGGCTAATCTGACCCGAGACACGTCTTAATACTCTTCACAATTTTCACTGCATTCCAGCTGAGGCAGTCTACAATCTCTTGAAGTACTAATGACCTTGAAATGTACGGACCAGTTGGCAATGGTGGCACCAGCAGGTAGGCTGTTTACATTCTCAGTCCGCCGCAGCTGGCTGATCGAACCCGACGGAGTCTTGGTCGGACGTACGGTAAGAATTCAGGCGCAATTACCTCGCCGAAACCCTACTCGCGCACGTGTGCGCGCTGCTTCCGTCTTGCTGGAGGTCTCGAATGTATACCGGGAACTCTTAAGCCTTTGACCTTGCGTACCACGATGCTGGGCAAGGGCTTCTGATGTCATGCTTCGAAATGGAGGTTCCATGTGGAGAATACTATCATCTGTGGGGTAGAGAACAAGGGATCGGTCTGATTTTGAGGACCTCGGCAAGCGGTTGGCGTTCAGATGGGCTCAGCGTCTCATGGGAAGATACATTTGCGGATCATCTCCTGCAAGGCGGCATGATATTCATTGCTGTCGTGAGTGGGAGTGGACTGGGTTACGATCACGACATGCCTCGTGTTCATCACGAATGGTGCGAGTCTTGTTGAAGAGCCGTTTGATCATGTTGTACCACGCGTTCTTTCCTGTTACACATGATCGAAAATAAGGGATGGCCGGCGAGAAAACACCTCGGTTGTGTCACCACTTACGGCTCGGCATGACTCCTTCGAGGATGAAGACCCTTATAAATAACCCATTTAGAGTTTACCGCTCCCGTGGCTCATGAAAGAGGACAACAACACGCCGTGAGGGTCGTGAGATGTTATGTCAGCTCTTAAAATGTTGACCGTAGCACGGGACAGAGTGGAGGTGGTGGTCGAAAGCGGGGTGAAAGGCCAAGAGCGGCCGGTGAAGAGGCAAGAAACGGTGTGAATGGCGCTGTCCCGACCATCGACCGCCTCCAGTTGGGCTCCAGGAAGCCTATAAGAAGGGCTCCCGTCCGCCCCAAATCCCATCCCCATCGACCCAAGCAGAGTACCTCTTCACTTCAACAACCACACTCTTACCTCACAACTACCAAAACACTCCATCAACATGCAGATCACCGCTCTCGCTGTCGTCCTCACCTTGGGCATCAACTTGGTTGCCGCTGCTCCGGTTGCTGGCCCGAACTCACACAGCTCCCACAAATCCCAGCCTGCTATTGTTCTCGTCGGCGATGGTAACGGTAACTTGGACGGAGACGGCAACATCGTTGTGCCCGGCCGCGGTGGAGCCGCCGTCGTCGGATCCGGCAACGGCAACGCCGACGGCGACTTCAACCGTGTTTCCCGTCGTGAGGCGAACTCTAAGCACAGCTCGCCGAGCAACAAACAACCTACCGTTGCTATTGTCGGTTCTGGCAATGGTAACTTGGACGGAGATGGTAACTTCGTCCTTACCGGCCCTGGTGGGTTGGCTATCGTTGGATCCGGCAACGGCAACGGCGACGGCGACTTCAACCGTGTTTCCCGTCGTGAGGCGAACTCTAAGCACAGCTCGCCGAGCAACAAACAACCTACCGTTGCTATTGTCGGTTCTGGCAATGGTAACTTGGACGGAGATGGTAACCTCGTCTTTACCGGCCCTGGTGGGTTGGCTATCGTTGGGTCCGGCAACGGCAACGGCGACGGAGATGGCAACCGTGTCTATTAGGTGCCATCGTGTTGGTGCTTGAGTTTACTTTGGTCTTTAGTATTTTGTACGATATTTTCCGTATGAAGTGAAGTTGAGTTTGGGGGGATCTGTATGGGCAAAAGGAAACGGTTGGCCACTACTCTTAGGGTTTAGTCAATCAAAGCTGTATCTTTTACTAAACATTGTGCAACTCTCAAGCATCGTAAGATGAGCACCTGATTGCAAGTCAAAGTTCCGATTCAACACATTCTGTCAACTTCAGTACTTACCTCACACCGCAGCCCGCATGAACCCACACGAACCCGCAGTTTCGAGCTCGGTAGTTTTAGCCGTCGGCCGCGGCCCGCTTCAACTTGGCAGAGATGAACTCGGTCAACGAGGATTATGATGACGTTTGGAGCGGCTACGGAACGCAGAACCGTTATTGATACCTCTTATCAGCCTATGGATACGATCCGCTGAGGCATATATCGGCTTCACCGCTTCACCGGTCGGTGACTTGATCCGTGACGGGTAGGGAATGATCTCGTGGGATCAAGCTGGACAACACCAAGTGCTACATTCGTTTTGGAAAATACGTCGAGATGTACTTGATGGCTTCGACGTACTGGAGCTTATTCTCCTCACGACACAGGCGGCACGCATTGCCTTTTGTGGCCGCCTTGACGATCTTCCTCCTCGTCTCCTTCCTCAACTATCCCGCCATGCCCCGACCGAAGCCGAATCTCATTTTGACATCCGTTTTAGATGCGTCTTGGAAAGACCAACTCGTCATATTCTTCAGCTCGCTGGAGTCCTCCCTTGGCCGCGAACTGCTCCTCTCTCAACGACACACTCATCGGCATCCCTCACCGGCGAGGGTGGATGTGAAAATCGTCATTCCAGATAAGATTGCTGGTGTATATCTTCCAGCTACATTCGTCGAGTTAGAGAAGAGATTTCCGTTCGTCGAGTTCGTGGGAGGCTTACCGGAGGGTAAGGTGGAGTTACAGCGGTTTACGGCGTATACACGACTCGTTGGTACACAAAACGCGAAAGCTACTCCAGATCCCGAAGCGTGGGCAAATATATACGACAAGATCTTCGTGACCGACCTTGACGTTGTTTTTCAACGCAATCCGTTTTCCTTTCCCATGAAAAAAGGACATTCATTGGCGTTTTTCGCCGAGTGGGAAGGGATGAAGATTGGGCAGTGCACGACGAACATGATGTGGTTACATTCATGTACACCATACCTTATCAGCTCAGCGGAAATGCAGTACTATAGGCCGTTAGAGAGGATCTGCGCAGGCACTACAATCGGGACAGCACAGGCCGTGGCAGTTTATCTGCAAACGATGCACGAACTCCTGAGTGTCTCCAGCTACACCTGCAACGACCAAGCCCTCCACACCCACCTCTACCACTCTGCCCTCATGAATCGCAGACTACAAGAAGCTGGGTTAAAAAGTGATGGTGTCTGGTTAGTCCCGAATCAGGAAGCGTTGATTGGGACGGTTGGATGGACTCCGATCGTGCTGTATAATGCGTGGGGAGAGGTGGTGAATGAGAAGGGTGAGGTGCAAGTTGCTGTTCATCAGATTAAGCACCATGACGCTCTCCACAATCTGGTGCGAATGAGGTATGCGTATGGTGTCGGTGAAATTGGTACCGGTAGCCACCCAGACTGGCGCATGAGGATAACGGATAGAGTGGAAGAGAAGGAGTTGGATAGACATGGGATGGTGAGGTGGAAGTTCGAGGGAGTGCAGGAAGGGATGTGTGCGGAATTTCCGGGATCGGGATGTTCGTGTCGGTGGAAGGATTGTCAGTACAACTATACGTTTTTCGACAGGCCGGGGAAGCCGCAGCCGCAGTCGCAGTCGCAGCTGGAGTTCAAATTGGAGTAGAATTAGATATCATATTAGCCAGCAACACTCTACAATGGAGATGTTGAGAGGGTTCCCAACAGTCCTTGGTTCAAGTTTTAGGGTTTCCTTGACAACTACTAATATAAGCGGACATCGGCTAAAGTGACGGCTCGCGCTCGGCTGAGGAAGCCTTGGACATACGAACACAGCCACTGCTCTTCAACTCCATGGCCAACTCTGAGCAGGGAATAGCATAGACTCCTACAAGTTCCAGTTGAACAATGCTATCCAAGGAAGGACCACCAACCTTGGAATCTTGCTGAATACCTGTAAGAGTCAAAAGTCGGACCGCACGGCTGCCGTGTCTAAACATAGCACGGCTGGGATGCAATGTGGGGGAGATGAGCTCTAGAGCTTGGATCAGCACTACCACACACGTCAAAGGCACAGCATCCTGTAACAGCTGTAATGTCAACCAAGGTCGTTTCAGTGATGCCTTGCTCTTCTTCAGCCGTGTCAGCTGGGTATAAAGTCCGCCTTTTGTCTTCTCCAGTTGAGTTTCCTTCCGCATACATTCCAGACCAGTACTAGTAGCTAGGATGATTATCAGCACTATCACCTTCGTCGCTCTCGCCGCATCCGTTAAGGGACAGGTAGTTTCCTCTGCTACTGCTGCTGTCGGATCTGCCGTAACCGGCGCAACCTCCGCAGCTGGATCTGCTGTATCGTCAGCTACCGCTGCCGTCGTTTCCGCCGCCTCCTCCATTGCCGTCTCGGACCTTCCTCTTCCCTCTGGGTTCCCGACGTCTTTGGCTAACTACACCGACATCCTTTCCGGCACTCTCAACTTCCCCAATGCGTCCACTATTGAGTCAGACCTGAACCTTAACGACACGGAGGTTGCTCAGTTGCCGCTGAGTGCCTTGGTTATTCCGGGCTACGCCAACTTTACCAATGGAACCTGGAACTTGCGGGTACAGGGATTGGCTTATAAGCTCCCCGCGTTGAATGATTCCCAGTTAGATGATGCCGCGGACAAGTATTTGCCGGGTGTGGGTAACTTGACACTCAACTCTACCGAAGAGACCCTTCTCCGCAACAGGACACATGATCTGTTGGCTATTCCTCATTCGAACGAGAATTTGACGTTCTTGGTTTCCGCGTCCAATTCGTCGACGAGTGTAGTGAACATCACCTTGTCTCAGCCGACCGATGCAAGTGGTGAATTCGACGAGTTCGTCATGTTACCCTCCTCCCTCGGCTTGAGCAACTCCTCCACAACCCAACACATAACTCTCTACGGCCAGAACCTTTCCGGCCCCGCAAACGGCTCTGCAATCCTCGTCCCAACCTCCGGTTACTCCATCGTCTCCGACATCGACGACGTCCTCCGCATCACGAAAGTCTACCAACCCATCACCGGGCTCCGCAACTCCTTTGCAGAGAAATACGTTAATCTTCCGGGGATGCCAGAGTTATTTGAGCACTGGGAGAGTACGTTACCGGGGGTTGCGTTTCATTATGACACGACTACGCCGGCGCAATTGACGAGGACGTATGTTGAGTATTTATTTGGGAATTATCCAGTGGGGTCGTTGGATATGCGGCCCATTAACCTTACCGAGCCGTCTGCTATCTTCGACGCGAGGCAGACGTCCCTCGTGAGGTTGTTCGAGACATTCCCGGACCGCAAGTTCGTTCTAATTGGCGACACCTCCTCCTCAACCCTCCTTTCCGCCTACCCCTCCATCGCACAACAATTCCCCGACCAGATTGGGTGTATCTTTATTCGTAACACCTCCGCCACTGATGGTGCGGATGAACTCCCCTTTGATACTTCCGGTTTTGCAAACCTATCGAATTCGACATACTTTTTTTACACGGTGCCGGAGGATTTGTATAACCTAAATATTAATGGGGGACAGTGTCGCAACGATTCGATCCCGCAGAATTTGACGTTTGGGGAGATGGGAGGGCCGTTCACGAATGGAAGTACGAACCCGTTGAGTAGCTCTTCGAGTGACAGTACCAGTACGAGCGGGGCAAGGATTGTTGGCGCGGGCTTGGGGACGGTGGTCGTCGCAATGATTGTGGGAGTGATCAGTGGTGTTGGGTTTTAGGTTTGGGAGTAATTGAGGTTGGGATAGGGACAGATTTAGCTTTTGTTTGGACGGTTTGTGTACGATTTTGCTAAGGTGTTTCGCAATATACCCTCATCTGTATCTGACAAGCAACTCATATCATAACGATAGCCGTCTAAGCACACGCCTCGTTGCCATTGACCGCGTCCACACCGATGCTCTGCCTCTTGCAGTTGATCTTCTCATCATTGACAGCGCCCACAGCGACGGCCGAGGAAGAAGCTTGCAAAGAAGCGATATATGCCTTTCACAATGATTTTAGTGGGATAGTGAATGAGTGTTGGGGTACAAGGACAATTACCTCAGCATCGGGACCAGGAACGGGAGCTGCCGTGGTGCCGGCGATGATGAGCGCAGTAGCGAAGAGCAAGATAGCAAGCTTCATGATAGAATTTCTCAGAGTCAACCTGGGAGTTTGCACGTCTGAGGTTGCTGGGCCAGTTGTGTACACGGATCTAAGGCTCTCATGTCGTTTATGTATTTTGAGGCAGCGAGGAGCTTGGAGGACCCAGCCGCGGGAGCCTCCCATATCCCGCAGCTTTATGACGTATGTAGGAAGACCAAGACTCTTATAAACTCTGCATTAAGAGGGATGAGGAACACACTTGTGCCTAAAGTTGCCAGGGCTGCATGCTCCCGGGGACAGACCCTTAAATTGTGATGCAAATCAACTGTCAGGTGCGGTTTCACATTCCGTGTGAAGTCATGATCATCTTTTCAAAAAGCTGCTGCTGGTACTCATGATCTGTCCGTACATGAAGGGCTCCCTACTCATTTTTATGTCAATGATCATGACCATGTCTGCCGCCGTTGCGTGGACCTCGTAGTGCCTCCCTTCTCTGATCTCCTCTCATGGCGCCGGCGTGCGAATTCGAGGCGCTTCGCAAACACGTCTAGCCCCCCAAGCACCTCCAACCGATTCTTGTCACAGTTGCTGTTACAACACCTGCATCTTGGGTTCTTCAAAGCCCGTTTTTAAGAGGACCGTCCATCGATACTTCGATTTTCGCCTAGTACTCAGAAGCAGAAAACACGACCATCCACCCACAGGGAGAATCTTCACGGCATGTTTGGAGTTTATGCATCTTGTGTAATGACCATTCAAAACGTCGAAGGAAATTCAAGAGCCTTCCTCTGTACCCAAACCTCGGATCAACTTATCGCACGTGCACGATACCGGTACCATCAAGCTTGCGCCGATCAGCAATACGGGTACCAGGGCAGCCGCGGCCATGGACACTGGTTTTGATAAGTGACAGAATCGTTCTTCACACTTTGCTTGCAAACGACTTGGACATCAATGGTTGAGGATATGTGTTCGCTTTTATGTCGCGCACGGACCGCGGTATACGCGGCCATCTCGAAAAAGAATTCGAAGACTGCGGATGCAAGCATCTGAATTCCGCGGATATTAATAAGTTCGATCGAAGAGACTGTGAGGGGCAAGCGTCTCGCACTCCCGCGATCCAGCGACCCCATCCATGCTCGCCGGCCATGGATCGCAGATCATCTCGATCCCGGAGTTGCGAAAATTGAGGCTTACGATGACAGTCCTTCAAGGGTCTCTCCACGTTCTAAATGTCCCTACCCGCGATCCAAGCCCGGGGCCGTCTCTGGGCGTCCACCTGAGCGCTATAGTACGCCAACCAAAAAAAAAAAACTCCGGCCTCGACCCGAAAACTCGGTGAAATTTTCTGTTTGGGGGAGGGATAAGCTTATCGCCGCTTGCGCTTCAAGCATCTAAAAATCGCCGAATTCATGCCTTTGCTCAGCCCATCCGGGAACGAATCTGCATGACAGCCGTAGGTGATCGACAGCATGATCGTGCCTGATCTGCTTGGCTTTGTTCTCCCGTCTGCTCGCTCATCATCCCATCTCACGCATTTGTAGGGCTCAAGGAGGAGTGAAGGACGGGTAATTTAGGATACGAGAGCTCGCCAAATATCTCCCAAACAACAAAAGCTTCCTTTGTCCTACAGGTGTTCCTCATTCGACCAATCAAATTGAGAGAATGACAGGTAGCGGTTGAACCTAGAACTCGGGCACGAAAACCCGATCTGCGCCTTAAACTCCGAAGTGTTTCACGTCGGCTGGATGGATGTGCGGGTACCCAGGTGTTGATGCAATTAAGTACTACTCAAAGAAATTGAGCTCGACAATCTTCAAGGGACTGACAGAACCAACGGTGTCGAAGAGCCTTGACAGCTGCTACGACGGTCGCGGCAGACCACGCTCGTTCAATTGAGAAGAGCTGAATCAAAAACGGCTTCGACAGCTCAGTACTGCGCCTCGGTCTCACCAATACTGCAACCACTAACGTCCTTCAGAGCTCAAGACCTCGACAAGCTGTCACCATAGTCCGACAGGTGTAAAGGACCAGATCACCGTCAATTGAGAGCCGAGCACCTGGGAAGACAATAACTTGCATTCTCGAGCCTATCGATCTCCTCGTCGATCATTCAAGAGATTTCGGCGGAGACCATCATCCTTCATCTGACGTGATAGGCCAGACACGGCGCAGATCACATAATATTCGCTGAGGATTCTAAATCACCGAAAACATTTGGATCGAACGACATCAACGACACCTGTTCAATCACCCGTCCACATTCACACACTCTTCAATGGTCCCCCAAACAACACCAACATCCTCACACACCACCCACTCACCCCTTTCATCCTCTCCTCCAACCTCCTCCCCCGTCCTCCTCGCCTTCTCAACCCTCTCCTTCCTCTTCTCCGCCTTCTCCATAACCTCCTACCTCCTCTTTCCCCCGCTCCGACACACCCGCACCCGCCTCGTCCTCTACATGTCCCTCTGCGACTGCCTCGTCGCACTAAACTTCATGGTCTCCGCAGCCGTGAGCGTGAACCAGGAAGCAGGAGGCGAGACGGAGCTGAAGGGGAAGTTCTGTACCGCAAATGGCGCCTTCACGCAGTGGTTTATCGTGCAGAGTGATTATTGGGTACTCGTGATCGCGTTGTGTACGTATGCGGTATTTCGGCCACCTGGACCGACTTCGCTGTTACGGCGGGCACTGCCGTATCTTCTACACTTGCCGTATACCCTTTCTTTACTGCAATCTATCCTCGGCGCGACCCTTGTCGGCTATGTCGACGTTGGCTCTTGGTGTTGGTTTGGAAGCGACAAAATACGGTTCCTGTGGAACTATACACAGAGGATCTCGATCGGTCTCGTTATTACTGCGATATATGTCAAGTTGTGGACTGTGCTGCGGAGGGGTGGGTGTGATTTTGGAGACGAGGAGGTGGGGGTAGAAGAAAGAGTAATAGGAGAGGTTGGGCAGACGTTTGATGGCAGTTATGAGGCGGGGGTGAGGGACAGGGATGGGAAGGCGGCCACGGATGTTAATGTCACGGCTGTCACAACTCCGGAGGAAGAACAGGATCGGCGAACGTCGGAAGCTACAGCCGTCTACAGGCATCAGTATGGACGAGCGAGAAGCTCAGTCGCGACGTCTGCTCCAAGTCAAGGACGCCCTCGCGCATCAGATGCGGCGGTAAATGCACACAGGGGATCAATATTCAGCTGCCCATCACGCAAAGGAACAAGGACGAGTGACGCGACATACACCACGTCGACACCCCCAGCGACCGCGACCGCGACGTCGACTACTGGATATCCCTTTGAGCAGCAACCACAGAAAACAGTGGTGGACGACGAAGATGTCGAGGTCGTCGAGTTACTTCCTTTCGCGTTCAAGACGACGGCACCGCCATCACCGCAGCGAGAATTGAACCCGATGGAGACGGAAATCAGTTCGCCGCCCTCACTCACACCATCTCGCACGCCGCTCACCTCCTCTACCTGCCCCGACTCCAATCTCATCACCCCAAGCGCCAACTGCTCCACATCACAACCCCGCCGCACCCTAACCTCCCACCAAGACTTCCGCATGCTCCTCTACCCCGTAGCCTACCTCACAATCTGGATCCTCCCTACCGCTTGCCGAATCTACGCCTGGTCTCACGGGCACCACGTCGGGTACGGCTGGGGCGTGGCTGAGAAGAGTATGATTTGTTTGAGTGGGGCGATTAATTCTGTGGTGTATTGGATGAATGGGAGAGTTGTTGGGGCTTGGGTTGGGTGGGTGAGGGGTGAGGGGAGACGGTATTTGGAGGCTTCTTGAGACAGGAGCCTGGGAAACGATGGATAAAGCGAGGAGGAAAAGAGGTTGATCAGTAGAAGGAGGAGGAATAGGGACTGAGAGAAGTGTATGGATACTGAGAATGAAGAACGAAGGGACAACGACGGAGTTCTTGATATTGGTTTGATACCTTGGCTTCATCGCCAGCGCACAGATGCGCTTTAGATACCTTAAATCATGCGATGTATTTCAACTATATATGACATTATTTTGCACTGGCACTCCTGTCTACCATCGATTGCTGCCCGTCCGTTCTTGTATATGTTAACGTTCAGCAGCGGCCATTAATACGTATGCGTCACTGTGTGGGATGAACTGCTGAGACAAGGGGCTTGGTTGTCGTCAAGAATTTGACTGGATTAAAGCCCGGATACAGAGCACGGGAAGTTAGATCTGTCATGACTGTGTATCCCAAGTTGATTGAAAGTACAGCCGAGGACAACATATCATGACTTTGCACGGAAACCGCCGATGAGCGACGAAATCATATTCGCTCCATATTTCTGTTTCCTCCAATCCTTGAAGCAATGCCTCAACGCCAGCAATGCTGTCCCTGTGATAACATACTGCACAGGCTGAAGGGTATCGTGTCTCTCTTCCGTCTTCCATCTTCCAACTCTCATCTCCGTTCACCCCAACACCAACTCATACACAATAACAATCGTATTTACCACAATTAACGGAACTGCACACCTGGTTAGCCCTGAACACTCATCCACGTTTTCAATTGCGACTCACTTCTCATCAACGTCCGTACCGCAGAGATCAAGTTCACCAGTCGTGCTTTCACACTCTGTCCACTCGGATCACCGAAACCAACTGGTTCATTGATACTCTGCGCAGACCATCCGACTACATGCACCCAATTAGCAACTCTATACATACAGAAGGCAGCGGAGTAGACGTACTTCTAGCGAGGAATCGGTCTTCGGAGAGGACGGCGATCGCGTTGACGAGAAGAAGGGAGACGTAGAACAGGTTCCCCAGGCCGAAGAAGAACATCGTGCTCAATTGCGAACTGAATGCTCGAGGAGAACGCGACTGGGACGTTACCTATAGGGATGCCGTATGCGGCTAGGCAGGGCGGGCGCCCTGGGCAGTTGTACGGTACGGCGCAACCCAGCAGACGGCCGACGGCCGGGGGACCAACCTCCATCGATCTCGGTCAACATGAACATGACCGTGGACAACGTCCTTGTTCCGCCCATATCCTTTGCCATGGTAGCACCAGGCGTCTATAGAAGGTTCAGCCCTCGCACTGTCATGATCATTGCACAAGCCATTTGCTAATGAGGATCAACAGTGGACACCCTCTACGACTCAACTTCAAATTTCTGGAGAAGAGGAAGTTCAAGACAATCATGTACGTCACCTTCACCTCATACTCTTCTGGTGCGTGGGACTAATGGAGTGTGTGTGCGTATAGTTACATCGCAGACCAAGACTACGACCCCGAAACCATCGCCTTCTGCACCACACACAACATAACCCTCCACCTAAACCCCCTGCCCCCCACAAAAGAACCCTTCCAAACCCTGTCCTCCTCCTCCAACTCCACCCATTCCATCACCCACGCCCTCTCCCTCCTCCTCGACACCCGCAACCACCCCGTCCTCATCCACAGCAACAAAGGTAAACATCGCGTCGGTGTCGTGGTTGCGTGTTTGCGGAAACTGCAGGGGTGGAGTCTGGCGAGTGTGTTTGATGAGTATGCGAGGTTTGCGGGGGGGAGTAAGGGGGAGGCGGATTTGTGTTTTGTGGAGGGGTTTGGGGGGGAGGGGGTGGAGGTGGAGGTGGAGTATAAGCCTGAATGGTTATGAGGAATGGGGGGAGTCATCATTATGGGAATGCAGACACTTGTGGGACGGACGGACTGGGGCATCAGGCATGGCCAGACACCGTGGCCAGCAAGCAGATGGCAGGCAGGACACAACTAAGGTATACGAAACTCAAGCTCGCGAATGTTTTGCTGCCCGTGCGTGCGTTTCTCGCAGATATCGAAAGATCGAGAACCCGTGGTTGGTGGGCACCGTCTACATGACTTGACGAAACAGCCTCGTGTCGTGCCGAGCCGTGTCGCGCAGGCCCTAAGCCGAGAGGTCCCGTTTGCCGTCAATATAGGTTACGCGCACCAGCTGCTGGGCAAACGCATCGAGAGTCGAAAGCCGAGACCCGCAAGCCGCACGAACCGGGCTGTTTGAACATGACCGCACAAAAGACGAGATTTAGAGTGGTGGAGGGACACAGGCTGCATTTGTCCTGGAAGTTGCATGGCCAGACCAGGCATCTCTTAATTACAATTGTTTCAACAAGGAGTATCAGGGTATATTTTTTGCTCTCACCCGGCTCAACACCATGGCCAATGCCTCAAACTGGTACTCTAATCAAGAACGAACGTATAAAGTCAGTAACTCCTCTACCCTTATCCAAAATGATGTCCATCCCAAATCCTCACGTCCCTTATCTCTTTGGTCTTTTTGTACTGTTTCGCAATTTCGTGTACCGACTTCGAATTCAAATCCTTGTCCCAGCACCATTAGTGCTAGTCTTCTGCCCCAACTTCCCCAACCCCCTATCCATAACCTCCAAATACCCTCCCAACCCCCTCAACATCCTCTCCAACTCCTCCGCCAAGCCAGCACCGGGCGTGGAGAATCCCGCACTCCCCTGCTCACTCAACACGCCCACATTCATCGAGGTGAGGGGTGGGAGGGAATAGGGGTCTGTTCCTGGCGCGACATTGAGGGAGACGGGGAGGGGCGGGGGTGGCATTGCTTGTGCGGCGGAGATTGAGGAAGCGATGGAGGAGGAGGAGCCGCTTCTGTCACCGTAGTGGAGTGGCACACCAACACTTCCACTGGATCCAACCTGCGCCAGTGGGTTCACGATTGGCTGTCGACTTGGACTTGGGGGTAAGAACCCATTCGACGGTCCCGTCGCACTAACAGGCGTGATCGGCATCGGGGGACCAAGCTCCGGTGCCCCTAGCTTCAAGTTCAGCTTACTTATGCCTCCAGATCCGACCTTCCCACCTCCGACCGCTGCTGCTGATGTAGAGACAGGCCCAGCACTCGTAGCCGAACTCGAGGGTGAATGCCCAAATGCCGAGTCCGTGCTTCGATTGCTTCGGTGTCCCTCAACTTGCGGCAAACCCAGACCACCTAACGACCCACCACTGCCACTCCCAGCCCCCGTCTTCCTCACCAATCCAACCTTCGGCGGACTCGGACTCGGCATGTGTCCCCCTCCTCCACCAAACGTCTTCGGCGGACTCGTCCCCATTCCCGTCCCCGCCCGACTCGGACTCACTTTCTGCATACCCGGCACCTTCGGTGGCGACTCAGCCAAAACGATGGCATTGCCCCTAATAATCGTCCCGCTCCGACTCCGACTCCCAATCCCCGCCGGACTGATATGCCCACTGGCAGGAATGGGTGGTGGGCCCATCGTCATTGCGGCCGCGCGGGCGGCCATCTCTTCCTCGCTCGGGATCTCGAGGATCGTTCCAGCGCGCGATCTCCCTCCAACTCCAGCCATCATGGGCATGGGGAGGGGTTCACGCGTGTGTTCACCATCCATCACCATAGTCCCAGTCCGAGACCTACTCGGCGGCGGCGCAGACGGCATCTCGCGTTCCCTCTCGGAGGATGGTACATCAATCCTCAAACTCTCCATCCTGGTCAACTCCGGTAACCTCGGCGTCGCTCTCACACCTTCCCCGTCCCCAGTACTGCCACCCATAACCTCCGCAACCTTCCTCTCCCTCTCCACCGCCGCTGACGACGTAGGCGGATACTCGGGATCATAATCCGGCATCTCGATCATCCCCCCACTCCTCTTCACCTCCCCATCCTCCCCAAAAACCGGCATCTCGATCATTCCGTGTCCACCACCCATCCCCGTTCCCATTCCCATACCCATTCCCAGGCCGGATCCGAGTTCTTTTTCGGGGCTCGCGGGCTGGGTGCGTGCGCCGTGGGGGTGGCCGATAGCGGCGCCAAAAGAGGATTGTGAAATGTCGAGATTTAGAATCGGGAGAGAGGGTGCGCTACGGACTAAATCCGGTCTCTGCATCCCCATCCCCATCCCGCCTGCAAACCCAGCTCCCGCGGGGGCTGACGGGATTGCAGGCGCAAATAACTGCATCAAGGGATGATTCTCCGTTCCAGCCGCCATACTCGTCTGGTTCCTTACCAACGGCTGGTTTTGTTGCTGTACCATCCGGACCGTCGCACCATCATCTTCGATTTCGATTTCTTCGTCGGGGTGTTCGTGGTATCGCTGTTCTAATCGTGACTCGAGTGCGGTGTTGGTGTTTGTGTGTGTGGATTTAACCGTATCGAACTCCCAACCCGCCGCACCACCACCACCACCCGCCCCCTCCTCCGGCTCCTCGAACCCAAAATTCCCCTCAAAATCATCATCCGCATGCCCCCCGATCGCCAAACTCTGCCTTACCCCACCCTTCGCCTCCCACTTTTTATACCGCGTAATCAACTCCTTCAATATCCCCGTCCCCGTCTTCGCAGAATTTTTGATGAATTTTGTTTTCAGGAGATCTTCTGCACTTGGTCGTTCGCCCGGGATCTCACTCACGCAAAGTGCCACGAACTCCTTAATCTGTGCGGAAAAGTTACCTTCGAGTCGAGATGGCGGGGAGCGCGGAATGAGGAACACAGCCCTCATCGGTTCCTGATCCGCAAAAGGCGGGTTGCCCGTCGCCATCTCATACACACAAACCCCCGCACTCCAAATATCAGCTTTGACATCATACCACTCACCCTCCCTAATAACCTCCGGTGCCATCCAATACGGGGTACCCACAAACGTTGATCGCTTGGATTGTGAGGAAGTAAGTGGGGCGGCTACGCCGAAATCGCAGAGTTGGATGGAACCGGTGTGGGTGAGGAGGATGTTTGCGCATTTTAGGTCGCGATGGATGAGGGGGAGGGAGTGGATGTAGGAGAGGGCGTGGAGGAGTTCGCGGGTTATGATTGAGATGTGGAGTTCTGGCAGTGGTCCGCTTTGGAGCTGCGCGAACAAAGTGAGCAGCGTGCTCGTAGAATGGAGATGAGAGGAAGAAGGAGACTTACCACCGTCCGTATTGACCCCCCGAAACAATAATCCATGACAATCCACAACCGTGTCCCAACGAGCCAGCACCCATGATACCGATTGATATTCCTACCCTCCCCATTCTCCGTTAACTCCTTCAACAGCTGTACCTCCTGTCGAATATCATTGACTTCATCCACTTGTGTATCGAGATTGAGGACTTTGATGGCGACGGCTTGGTGGGTGGAGTTGTGAATGCCTTTGTAGACTGTGCCCGAGGCACCTTTGCCGACGAGTTCGTGGCGGGTGTAGGGGGGGGAGTCGGTTTGGAAACCCATTTAGTGAGCTGTCCACTTTGCCTTCTCGTCCTTGTATGCCGTTTATCGTCGTTGTGTTTCTTGGTGGAGAGTTACGGTAGGTGCAGGTTGTCCGTCTATTCCCAATTCAGTCACTAATTAAAGACTGAGAAAACGCGTCTACACCAAACACCTCCTCGACCAACTTTGATTCAACCCCTCCGAAAATGGCATCACACGACGAAAACCAATACCTCGACCTCATCCGCAACATCCTCGAGAACGGCGAAACGCGTCCAGACCGTACCGGAACAGGCACGCGCTCCATCTTCGCCCCACCCAACTTGCGGTTTAACCTTCGCGACGGACAATTCCCTCTTTTAACCACAAAACGCGTCTTTCTCCGTGCAGTCATCGAGGTACCTTCCTCCCGCCCTCCCTCCCTCCTCTTCCCCTACTAACAATCACGCGTCCACAGGAGCTTCTCTGGTTCATTGCCGGCACCACAACGAGTGTCCCCCTAACCGAAAAGGGCATCCACATCTGGGACGGCAACTCCTCCCGCGCCTACCTCAACTCCCTCGGCCTCACCCACCGCGCCGAAGGCGATCTCGGCCCAATCTACGGCTTCCAATGGCGCCACTTCGGTGCCTCCTACACCACCCACGACGCAGACTACACCGGCCAAGGCATCGACCAACTCGCCGAGGTAGTCAGGAAAGTTAGGGATGAACCTTGGGATCGCAGGATCATTATGTCTGCGTGGAATCCTGTTGCGATTCCGGAGATGGCGTTGCCGCCGTGTCATGTATTGTGTCAGTTTAGCGTGAATACGAGGAATGAGGTGTCCTGCCTTCTATACCAACGGAGTGCGGATATGGGGTTGGGGATTCCGTTCAACATTGCCTCATACGCGCTCCTGACGTACATGATCGCACACATCACCGGCCGTACACCCGGAGACTTGATCATCCAACTCGGTGACGCACACGTCTATAACGACCACGTCGAGGCGTTGCAGGAACAGCTCCAGAGGGAGCCGAGACCGTTTCCGACGTTGAGGATTAAGAGAAGTAAGGAGGAGGTGGGGGGGATTGACGGGTTTGCGGTGGAGGATTTTGTTGTGGAGGGGTATAAGCCGTATCCGAAGATTGAGATGAAGATGAGTGTGTAGCGAGGAGAGAATATATAGAAATACAAGGACATTTCGATCAAGAGCGAAGACAGACGCCCAAAACCAATATCATTGTTCCCAAAAGCTAATTTCCGAGCGCCAGATGCCATATGGAGTCATATATGTCACGCAGAAAACGCTAAACGTCCCCTCACTCATTTTTTTCTCCTTCTTTCCTCCTCACTGATAACAATACCAATCGTGATCTAATAGGGATACGAATACGTATGACCATGATCAGATCACCCCTCACTCACCTCCCTCTTCTCCTTATCCTTACTCCCACTCCCCCACCTCCTAACAATACTCCCCCCTCTAAACCGACTCAATCCCTTTCCCTTCTCTTTGCCACCTCCTACACTTCCATCCTCACTCGCATCTTTGTAGGAGTCTTTCTCTTTCTTAGTTTTCGACCGTCCCAGAAACGACCTCGATTCCCGTAATTCTGGCATCCCCCCACCAACAACACCCATCGCGCTCGAGCCCATGGAAGTAGCCGAATTCGACTTGCCCAACGGATTCGCGAAACTGAATCTCCTCGAATGCGGTGTCGACGCCATCGCCGTAGGCAAACTCTGCGGTGACACGGTACTCGGTATCGTATTGGATGGACTCGGTGGTGGGAGGGTTGATGTGGACGCGTAGGAAGAGGGTGGGAGGGGTGAGGTTGGTGATGTTATTGCTGCGGGTGGGGAGGAGATGGGTGAGGTGCCGAACATGAGAGGTTGTGGGGATGGGCTGTTATCGCTCATCGTTGGCGGTGGTGACATCACGCTCGAGGGTGGAGAGGTGCTTTCGGTTTCTGTTTCTCTCGCTGCTTCCGGGAAAGAAGGCGAGTCTGGTGATTTTGGGACTCCGAGTGATTCCTCTTCGACCATTTCATAAAACAACACATACGCACTTCCCAACCCGGGTCTATCACCAAAGAAGTTCGTCACGAAGGTCTCGTGGACGGGGGTGACGACATCATCATCAAACAACATCCACCCCGCACTCCCCGCTTTGACAATCGCGACATAATGTCCATGGTAGGGCCCTCCGCCGATATGTACCACAACTCCAACGAGTTCGTACAGGCGATCGGGATCATCGGCCGTATCCGTCGTATTAAACAGCCGTAACTGGAGCGGATACAAAACCCGATGAAACAGCTTGATATTCTGCTGAATATCCTCCCGATACTTAAACCTTTTCAAATGCAACGCCAATATCCTCGGCAACCGTCCCACTTTCATTCTCTTCTCCGCCTCTTGAAGCGTATTACACCGATCGCAGTGGAATTTATTCTTTTCGCATAGCATTTCGGAGGCGGAGAAGGCGCGGAGACAGGAGGTGATGGAGGTGTGCTCTTCGATGTCGATGGAGAGGTCGAGGAAGGTTTCGTTGCGGCTGGAGATTGTTTCGCAGGTTAGGCATTTAGTTTCGGAGGTTAGGGAGCCTTCGAAGAGGGTGTGGACCCAGCGGTGGTCGACTGTTGATTCTATGAGGTTGGGAGTGACGCCGGCGCCGTTGAGGAGTTTGGTGGGGTTTTGCTTCGCGTGATCATCAACCGAATCAACCACCATATTCAGCAGATAGTTCAGAAACTCATGTGCATCCTGATGCATCGTCGATCGAAACAACTCTGTTTGTCAGATGTCAGCATCCACTTCAAAGGGTAATCTCGGCTGTCGAACATACCATTCTCCCTCCTCAACACCTCGATAAACATCTGCGGCTTAATAACCCCCTTCCTCTCCCCCGCACCCACGATCCCCTCGAAAACATCTTTGAGGGCGGTGAACAAGCTTTCGGACATACCGTATGTCTCGGCGAGTGAGTGATCGATGTTCAACACCACCTTGCCGTCCTGGGTCGGTGCTGGAGCGCTTTGGTTTGGTGAGGGGGTGGAGACGTCCTTGGGCGTAAGCCCTGCCGCGGAGGACGTCGACAACACGCTCGAACTCGGCGTCCGCGACAACCCAAATCGCGATTTTCGGTTTTCTGCTTTCTCGGATGGTGCAGTGGTCATCGATCGCTGCAGCCCCCCTCTCCCAGTATAATTCGTCACACTCGAGCCCGCACCCGCTGGTGTTGGAGGAGCGGTCGATGTCGGGAACTCCCGTGTCGGCGAGGTTGGTGCGCGGTCTGTTATGGGTGGGTAGGAGAGGACTGCATCTCGGAAGGGTTTGCAGAAGTAGAGGGCTTGTAAGACGGAGTTTGCGTAGCTATCCAGACCTCGATCATCAGTCGCCTGTGCACGAGGAAGGGGTGAAGGTGGCTTACCAAGTATTCCCAAAGTTCTCCATTCCGAAGGTTTTATCGCCACCATCAACGGCCAGCGGTGAGGTGTCGACTCCTCCGGATCCCTTGCCGCCACTTCCAGAAGTACCACTGCTTCCCAATCCCATCCATTTCAGCATAGACATTTTGCCGAGATGACTGGCTGCTGCAGCCGATCAACCTGCAGTGTCTTAACCGTTCCGATCAAAGCGTAAAAGGCGTGCGCAACTTTTGTGCACACAGAGGGATAGAGACAGCTGGATGGTGTTCGAGATCAGATACCCTTGACCTTCCGTAAACAACACCGCACCGGATTTTTGGTGTTGCGTTCGGTTGTCGGCTGACGATCGGTGTGGCTGGGGCAGCACTGGTGGGCCACGGCGCGTGTCCCTGGGTTGGTGGGGTGAGACTGGGGAGACTGGGGGGTGGGTGACGTAACAGCAGCGAGGAAACTATACATACAGATGGGACGTACTCCCTTCTAGATTCGTGAGGAAGAATATCGATACACTCCACACAGGTGAATGGCCGTGCGCACGTGAGCACCAGCCACGCTCCAACCCCTGGAAAATGGGAAGCTGCATCACCGCACACGCCGCACAGACCACTGCACTGCACCCCTCCCATCCCCTCCCATCCCCTCCCATCCCCCCCCC